ATGGAAGGTGTGGAAAAGGCAACAAATTCCGAGTGATGCCGAGGTGGCACACCTTTTGTATCCCGAAGAGAGCGACGGAGCTCCGGACCAGCTGCCCCACCAGCCTCTGAATCAGAACTGGAAGACCTAGAAGAGGAGTGAGATCCCGGAGACGAGAGATCCGACCCAGCTGGAGAGGAAGATGGCGAGCTGGAGTCGACCGATGAGTCTGATGTAGCCGAAGAAGAAGTCAACTGGAGACTTGAATCCGTGGTGTTCCCAGGTTCCATGTCGTCCAAAGCAGGTGCTTCAGGAGGAAACTCATGCGGAGGTAAGCCAAACGGTTGTAGGAACTCGAGATCAGCAGCAGAAGGAGACTCGACATGCGTAGAGTGATAAAAGGGCATGTGCTCAAGGAATACAACATGACAGGAAATGTGTACTCGTCGAGAACTAGGATCGTAGCATACGTAACCTTTATGTTTATCACTGTAGTCGAGAAAGACACAGCGAGCAGCCTTAGGAGAGAGCTTGTCACGTTCTTTCCGTGTCAACAGAACATAACAAGTACAACCAAACACACGCAGCCAACCATAATTAGGGAGACGAGAATACAAGGCCTGATATGGACTGCGTTGCTGCAACACTGAGGTGACTTGACGATTGATCAGATAAACAACAGTGTGAACTGCTTCAACCCAAAAACCTTTAGGAACCTGAGAGTGAAATAAGATAGCCCGAGTAAGCTCCAAAACATGGCGATGCTTCCGTTCGACCAACCCATTCTGTTGCGAAACACCCGGACAAGACTGTTGTACCAAAATTCCTCTGTCACGAAGGAGAGCCGGTAACGGGTTAGAGGTAAACTCTCCACCCGGATCTGACCGCAGTATCTTGATGTTTTTCCCAAATTGTGTAGACACCATTTGGAAAAATTCTTGAGCTTTATCAATTAATTCTGACTTCTGACGAAGAAAGAACACCCATGTGAACCTGGTAGCATGATCTACGAACAATGCAAAGTATCGAAATCCCAATCGAGACGTGACGGGGGAAGGTCCCCATAGATCAGTATGCACAAGCTCAAATGGTGCCGAGTAAACAGTCTCACTAGACGTAAATGAACGCTGTGTAATCTTGGCTTGCACACAATGAACACATTCATGACCCGGATCATGATAACCACTACCAGACAACCATTTATTCTGAAACATAGCACGAAGTCGCAAAGAATTCGGATGACCCAAGCGAAAATGCCACAAATCCCAGTTTGACAACTTAACTGAAAAACCAACTTTAGCATCCGATAACTGTAAACCCTCACAATCACTTGACACAACTACATTACTACTTGACTCAGCTTCAGCTTCTGGTCGCCCACTCGTCCTAGGTAGCTCGGAATCACCTGCTCCCTTCACAGCCGCCGAATGAGTATAGTGGTCAAGTAGAAATGTCCGTCCCTGCTTACTCCCTCTCCCTACCTCCTTCCCCGTCCTCGTGTCCTGCACAGTGCACCCAAACACATCAAATATGACACGACACCCATCATCAGCTAACTGACCCACAGAGACAAGGCTGGGCACGAGTTGAGGAACATATAACGTATTAGGAAGAGAAATACGGGGCTGGAGCACATGACCAACCCCTGTAACAGCCATACTAGAACCATTCGCAGCCTGTAAACCCATGCCTGATGAGGCTTTGTCTAGTGTCCTAAACGCTTGTCGAGAACTCGTCATGTGATTATAAGCTGCAGAATCTATATGCCAAGTAGGAGAAGTATTAGGGTGCATACCAGTCGCAAAAGCAGACGTCAAGGCATTTGGCAAGGCAGCCTGCAAAGCCTCCTGCACAAGACGACGCACATCATCTGTGGTGAGAGGAGCAGCCAAAGAAGAGCTCACATTCGTGCTACTAGGCAGCGTGGCATAAGCAGCTTCAGATGTGGAACGAGAGCCACTATCACGAGACCCACCAGCTCTCGATCGCCGACGTTGAGCAAGCGTGGGACAAGCAGCAATGAGATGTCCTTCGAGCTTGCAATAATTGCAAGTGTTGCGACGAGGACAATGGAACTGAATATGGCCCGGTTTCTTGCAATGATAGCACACAATCTCACCCTTAGTTGTGCGGTGAAATTGAGGCTTAACAGTACCTGCTGCCCTCCCAGCTCCAACCGCAAAGGCAGCCCGGATTCGGTTGAGTGAATGTCAAGCTTTGCTTGACTCTTAAGACGCGTCTCTTTCCGAAGCAACTCAGCGAGCACCTCCTCCATAGTAGAGACATTGCGATGCAGGAGAGAGGCCCTTATCCCCTCATACTCCGGCCGCAGCTGCATAAGAAAACGCATAACGCGAGAGCTGGCACGCTCAAGCAGCGTATCCGATGTTGCGGGAGTGGAAGCCAACGACGCCAAGATCAAGTCCTGCTCCGTCCACAAAGTCACCGCCTCTTGATAATATTTACTTATATCCATGTCCCCTTGTCGCAGAAGAGCAAGTACTTGCTCAACCTCAAACTTACGAGAGCTACTAGCTTTAGAATAAAGCTTCCTCAAGTGATCCCAAATTGCAGCAGCAGTGTCAAAACCCCTCAAGCTAAGGGCAATACCAGGATCGACCGAGCCAAGAAGAGAAGACATAACCTAGGCATTATACATAGCCCAATCCTCCTTTTCTTTCGACGTGGCCGTCTCGGCTGGTGCTGCCGACGTGCCGTCAAGAATAGAAAGCAGGCGCCGACCCTGAACATGAAGGCGAAATTGAAGTTCCCATAAAGCATAATTTTTACCATTAAAGCGAACATCAATCACATCATTCTTCGAGCCCTCCATTATCACCCGCACCGCAGAAATACCCAAACCAATATCACAGCCAAGCTCGCCAAACCTAGAACCCACAAATCACGTAGCAAAGATCCCAAAACAAAAACAGCCGCCCTGATCACGAACAGAAAACCGTGAAGCAAAACCCAACAACCCGAGAAGCACGAACAAATCACGAGAAGAAGACGAGAGGCTCTGATACCATGTCAATCAATACGAGAAAAGAGAGAACACGAGTTTACGTGGTTTCCCCAACGTGATCGTTGGGACTAGTCCACGGCACAACGGCGGAGTACGTTCTTATTTCTGTAGTTCTTAACTGTACATCATGACCTATCAACACTTATATACGGCCATAGCTACTAACCCTAAACCCGGACAATTACAATATAGTACCCATACTTCTAACAGTTGGAGGAACTGCGTTCTCCGTTTTGAGCATGTAAAAAACAGCCTATCATCACCACCTTTTCTCCCATCTCAATTCTCATCTTCCATGCTCACTTCGCTGCTGCTCTATCAATTTGATCCCTCTCTTCCATGCCTTTGCTATGAGTTCAAGAAAATTTTGCCATGTAATGCGATCAGCTTGGAAATTTATATAACTTGCTTTTAATCTGGTTTTCAGGGTAATTATGTCTACATTGATAGTAGTGCTTCTGATTCAGTACTGACAGGACAGCCGATCACTAATGAAGCCGAGGAAACGTTGTTTGTTGAAACTTGAGACTTATAAACATAATTGCATTGTATGAGTGATGTATGACAAGTTTGACATTACAAATTCCCTTAAAAGCAAAAGCTTGACATTACAAATAGGTTTTAGCATATGGAGTTAGTGATGGCAATTTCAACCCGCCCTGCGGATATTACCCGATCTGACCCGCGATGGGTCGGGTAATCCGACCTGACCCGCGATGGGGCAGGTATTACCCGACCCGCAGTAGCGTGGGGCGGGGCATGGGTATCTACTTCCGACCCGCCCTGGCCCTCCCTGCCCCGTTCTAGACTCACTTTATCTCATTTTTTACAATACCTATACATATTTCTCCTATTTTGACTTTTCTTCAACTAGTTAGAGTCGATCTTTCAACTTGTTAGGCTCAATTATCCATTCTATTATCAATATTTTTCATTCTTAAAGTATTTTTTCCTACATTTTAATGTGAAAAGTAAAATTTACTTGTATTTTTTTGAACAACATGTAAGAGTGGGTCGACCCGCCCCGTACCCGCGCGGGTTTTACCCGCCCCAACCCGTAGTAGCGTGGGGCGGGGCATGGGAATTGAGGTATCCGCCTCGTCCCGCCCCATTGCCATCACTACATGGAGTTCAGTCAATCACTAATACAATATTAGTTCATGATATGTTGATTGAGTAAAAAATGGCAAGTTGACAGGAAGCAGAAAAGGTAATAAATAGGCAGAAGAAACTCGAAAGGAAACCAATTTGCATTAATAAGTTGACAGGAAAGGTAATACCACTAGTCTAGAATCTGGATGTCTCAGGTTCGAATCTCTTAAGTAGTACCTTAATTACAACAAAATGAAACCTATATCACCTTTATAAAAAAAATTAAGTGGGCATGCAGTAAAGGGTAGCAGCCGGCTTATGTTATTTACTTACAAAAGTATACAGAGTCCCCATACATGCAGAATCAATCTCTCAAAGCTAGCTGAAAATGATTAATTAATTCACATGAAGAAGTTAATTAATGTATGATTGCGAACTAGCTACTAATTAAGATTGCGATGTATATATTGTTATAAACGCGCTGCTACGGATCGGGAAATCGCCGGAATCGACAAAGCAAGAATACGAAAGCGAGAATCGAAAAACACGACACACGATTTACGTGGTTCACTAACACGATGTGTGTTAGCTACGTCCACGGGCGAGAGAGAGCCAGTTTCACTACGTCCACGGTTACAGACCAGGCCCAGAACCCGAACCCAAATAACATTGAGCCCAGTCGTAGCGGCTGATAGTCCGATTCAAGTCATATCAACATATATATATGGTGCCTTCTACTGTACCCCGAGTGAAATCCGGGGTACCGCATACCTTGAGTATGGAAACGATATCTAGACCTCGAATTAGCAGGATTTTTGGGTCTGATACTATACCCTAACCCTTAATGAGTGAACCCTAGGTCCTAATTATCTAAATCATAATCTATAAACCCTAAGATGGTGCATTCCTTTTTGTGCCTATATTTGGACGAATCATAACCGTCGATTATTGTTTCTAATTAAATTGATCATGGAGTATAAGATTTGGAGAATTAAGACCTAGATTTTGATCTTTAAGGGCTAGAGTATAGTATCATGTCCGAAAAATCGGTCAATTCAAGGTCTAGATAGTGTTTTCATACTCAGGGTATGCGATACCCTGGATTTTACCCAGGTACCATATAACTCACCCTATATATATATATACATCCATAATTATTTTCTTCAGCAGGAACATTCCGCCAATAGACCTTCAACAGTGAAAGGACAGTCGACGTAATTGAAACCAAAGGCGTTGTTGACGTTGCATGTTCCCTCCGCTGAGGCTGAGACGGCCGACCACCAAGCTGCCTCCTCTGCCGTTACTAACTCCATCTCCACCGACTGCTGCTGCGTCATTGCTCCTTCTCCTTCATTAATACTCCCCGCTTGGAACGACGGTGATACTTCTCCTTGGTTTCCGTTGCCGTCAATCCCGTTGTCCTCTTTTACGTCTGCTAAGCATTCTTCAATCTCCTTATCAAACAACAAGTCTAGCTCTTCTTCTTCCTCCTCGTTGCCGTTGCCATCAACCCCGTCGTCCTCTTTGACTTGTGCCAAGCTTTCTTCAATCTCCTTATCCAACAACGAGTCCAGCTCTTCTTCTTCGTTGATCATGTTGCACTTGCCGTCAACCACGTCTTCTTTTACTTCCGAGGAGCATTGGTCAATCTCCTTCTGGAACAACGAAGATTCTACTTCTTGTAATTCTTGTTTACGGCCACCGTCGCTGGCCAAGCCTTGGTTTACTCCCGACAACAGGCATTGACGTCGTTGCATCTCGACTTCCACGGACGACGAAGATACTACTACTTGTTGTTGGTCTTCGCCATGGAGCTTCCACCGCTTGTAAATGGACGTGGATCCCTGACTCGCATGAGCCTCGTTGTCGTCGATTATTGATGATTCGGCATCCACGTGGCTGTAAGCTGCATCATGGATGAGAATGACCATGGAGGTAGACTTGTTGTTGTTGTTCTTCCTCTTCTTGGAGCTCTCCTTCTTTCTGAGTCGGCAGACTGCGAGCTTGGACGCGGCGGCAGAGTCAAGCCCTAGCTCGGGGATGGGCAGCAGGCAGTACTCGTGCATGATCCACGAACAACAACTAGTCTGCGGTTTTTTCTCCTCCTTCTTGTTCTTCTTGGTACGGTAGCTGAACCGCTTCAGGGTCCAGGAAACGGCGCCGTCGAGGGTCTGGGCTTCCTTGCCGACGTTTTCCTCGTGCCAACTCCCGCCCTTGGATCCCACGCTGCGGTCGAGTCTTGTCCCGGTCGCGGTTCGCTTCTTGAGCGGAGTGAAGAAGTAGAGATCATTCTTCTTCTCGTCGCCGTCGCCATCGTCGTCAGCATCTTCTTCTTCTTCTTCGTGGGCGCCGCCTCGAAAGTACTGCTTCCAGATGTCCCATGGCTCCAAGTCGCCGTAAAGATTGCAGTCCTTGACGTAGTCGTCGGACGGGAGCGGGAATCCCAACACCTTGCTCAGCAGGTAGTCGACGACGAGTTCCTCGTCGGTGGGGAGGAACCGGAACCCTACCACGCGGCGATCCAACTTCATCATTCTCTCTCCTACGTACTGCACGAACTTTTTGTCGATGTACGTTGATATCTTCGATCGCGCGAAGACAAGGACAACAATCGCGCGCGGGAGAACTGATCGAGGGCAACCTAAAGCTATGTAATGTAAGTGGAGTGAGAGAGAGAGAGTGAGTGTGTTGCGAGTAATTAATAATAGCAAAGCAAAGCGCTATTAGGAAATTATCTCTATTTATAGATTTAGGGCATGCTGGGTAGTTTTGTAATTCCATTTTGCAAATCAATATTATTTACACTAGTTCAAATTCAATTTTGCTATTTGATGCATATTTGCACAATATTATTTCTTTTGCTACACGAAACACCATTGCCACCGGAACTTATGCTTACAACATATATCCATTTATGTGCAATTCCATCCACCTAGCTAGGTCTTGTTGGCCAATGTAGTTGTTAGTGCATTATTATGTTGATTTTACTTTGATTATGTTTGTCGAATATCTAATTCTATTTTAATGTCAATTATATTAGGTTTGTTAATTTAGTGGGAAAGAATGCAAAACGTAACTCTTAATTCGATGTTAATATTCACCAACAATAGTATCCATCGATCTTACTAATTGAGTTGCATGTTGGAAATAAATTCATAATTATACGAGTATCAATGAGCTCTTTGAAAAAATTGCATGGTTTCGAACTTTTTAGGACTCGAGCTCTAGGAAAATAATTTTGTGTTTCAGGATCAAAATTAAATTGACTCAAACAATTTTAATATATACCATAGATTACCCATATTTCGCAAGTATCTAAGGCATCATATAATAAGTAGAGCATGTGCTTCAATTATATGTCCACAAAGTTAATTTTATTTACGGTTACATTTCACTGTAATGAGATGGGTTCACATATATGACTTTTTTATTCTAGTTTGCAGGTTAATTGCCAGAACCCCCAAACAATGAGAACCACAAAGGGGATCAGCAAATTAAACAGCAGGAGCCTTCCATTTCGGATCAACAACTCGGTAGGTAAATCTAGGTGAAGACAGTTGATTGACAGGTGATGCGAATTAAGTTCAGGGTTTATAAGAATTGGATTGAATCTAGTATGTAAGGTTCAAAGTTCACAATGCTTCATATATTGTAGAAAAATAGGGTTACTAGATCTGATTAAGTCACGAACTAGATTCGTTTCTTTAAAATGTTCGCGACACCAATAGTTTATAAGTCAAAACTAGGGGTGACGGCTCGATTCAAGTTTTCTGTTTTTGGCCGAAACCGAACTGGTTACATGCTTATGGATTTTTCTTAAGGGGTAAAAACTGACAAGTCATTAATGGTACAGTTTTGTTTGGTCAAACCGAAAAACCATGAACAGCCCGCAAAAGGAAGAACTTCAATTTGGGTGGCACAGAAAAAAAAAACACACACATTGCTTGCTCTAAACTCAGCACATTCAAGCAATTTAGGAGGATATAAACGGCGAAAAAAATCTGATGTACCCGGTATACCCTCATATGCACATATGATGAAATTTAAGTTTTTGGGTAAATTGTAAGTTTGGCCATTGGGTTTATCAAAATTTTTTAAATTTGGTGACTAAAATTAGTTCAATGATTTAATTGAGTTTTGTTACTCTCCGTCCAAATTCGTTAACTTTAGTTGATGTGACAGTCAACTTTCGTAGTTGACCGTTCAATAAGTGACGTAACAATTAAACAAAACAAAAACTAAAAAAAAGTATTGTAATTAACACTAAATTAGAAATAGATATTCGACACACATAATCATCAAAGTAAATGAACATAATGCAGTAACTAATTGACCAGCAAGACATAGGTGGATATGTTGTAATCATAAGTTTTTAGGCTATTCCGTGTAAGAAAAGAAATAATATTTCGCAATTTATGCATCAAATAGCAAAATGGAATTGAAATAGTGTAAATAATGCAAATAATTATTATATTGATTTACAAAATGGAATTACATTACAAAACAAGTCTGCAATGCATGCGCTAAGTAAATCTATAAATGAAGCTTTCCTAATAGCGCTTTGCGCGCTTTCCTCTTATTACTCGCAACACAACGCACATCACTCCCTCTCTCTCTCTCACTCCACTTACGTACGTACGTAGATTTAGCCTTAAGGTTTCTCTCAGTTCTCCCGCGCGCGAGAGATCGAGATCGAGATCGAGATCGCCGACGACAAGTTCCTGCAGCACCAGAGAATATAATGGAGTTCGATCGCATTCGTCGCAACGTAGGGTTCCGGTTCCTCCCGACCGACGAGGAACTCGTCGTCCATTACCTGCTGAGTAAGTTGATCGGGTTCCCTCTCCCCTCCGACGACTACGTCAAGGACTGCAACCTTTACGGCGATCTGGAGCCCTGGGACATCTGGAACCACTTTCGAGGAGGCGCCCACGAAGAAGAAGATGCTGACGACGACGGCGACGACGAGAAGAAGAACGATCTCTACTTCTTCACCCCGCTCAAGAAGCGAACCGCAACCAGGCAAAGAATCGACCGTAGCGTCGGGTCCAACGGCGGGGCTTGGCACGGGGAAGACTCCGGCAAGGAGTCGCAGACCCTCGACGGCGCCGTTTCCTGGACTCAAAAGCGGTTTACCTACCGTGCCAAGAAGAGCAAAGGAGAGCAGACTAGTTGTTGTTCGTGGATCATGCACGAGTACTGCCTGCTGCCGATCCCCGAGCTAGGGCTTGACTCTGCCGCCGCGTCCAAGCTCGCAGTCTGCCGACTCAGAAAGAAGGAAAACTCCAAGAAGAGGAAGAACAACAACAACAAGTCTACCTCCAGGGTCATTCTCATCCACGATGCCGCCGACAACGACGTGGCTCCAGCTGCGAGTGATGATCAAGGATCCACCACCACTTACAAGCGGCGGAAGCTCCACGGTGGCGACGACCAACAAGTAGTAGTAGTATCTTCGTCGTCCGTGGAAGTAGAGATGGAACGTCCATGCTTGTCGTCGGAAGTAGGACATGGCTCGGCCAGCCGCGGTGGCCACGAAGAAGAACTAGTATCTCCGCGGTTCCAAGCGGAGCCGGAAGGATGCTCGTCGGCAGTATTAAAAGAAGAAGAAGAAGAGCTAGACTCGTTGTTTGATAAGGAGATTGAAGAATGCTTGGCAGACGTAAAAGAGGACAACGGAAACCAAGGAGTAGTATCACCGTCGTTCCATGCGGGGAGTAACGAAGGAGAAGGAGCAATGACGCAGCAGCAGTCGGTGGAGATGGAGTCAGTAACGGCAGAGGAGGCAGCTTGGTGGTCGGCCGTCTCAGCCTCAGCGGAGGGAACATGCAACGACGCCTTTGGTTTCAACGTCGACTGTGGTTACACTGTTGAAGGTCTACTGGCAGAATGTTGCTGCTGAACAAATAATTATATGGATATGTATATGTCGTAATCATAGTGATCAATTAGTCGCTCAAATTCATTAATAACTTCTTCTTCTTCTTCTTAAGCATGAACTCGATCTGTATACTTTTGTTAGTTTGTACGTACATGACATTGGAATCTGGAAGGAATTCACTCTCTTGCATGTTGCCAGATATGTGTTAGTAGTTCAGTCCATTTCTGCCCAATGCTCGATTCAATCCCGCCAAAAGGAATATTACCAGCATGTGCATCATTATACAAGATTTCCAATGACTATTCTCATTTCGAAAACCATCTCTTCTAGAGTTGTTTACCATGATAACGAATAAGCCTACATTAGTCTAGGTGTAAAGCATGGTATATCAAGAATGAAGCTGCAAGTTAGTGACAGGACAAGACTAATTGCTACCCTGTTTAACACCAAGCTTATTGGTTTATCATAACTAGAGTGATTGTTTCATCACAATAATAGAAGAGAGAAGATTATTCCTACACCAATTCCCTTACCAATGAAAAGAGTTGTTTCTTACTTACTCACCTAACCCTCCGTTGTTAGTTTTACGCAACTAGGATTTACGGCTTAATTAACCACACAATCCAACATGTTTTTACATATTTAAATTTATTTCGATGCTATAAACAAAGTGGTTTTGATGTAATAGTATAAATTGAGGCGTTACTGTTACTTATTATTATGTATAAATATTCTATCAAAATTGTCAATTGATCACCTTTTCTATAATGAGTTTCGCCGACCAACACCTATTAAGTGTTGTCGCCATGTCATGACCTCACTTTTTTCGTGGTGGTTCTCATTCTTCTCTTTGGTGCTCACCGCTTTTAATCTGGAGGATGAAATAGCTTGTTTTCATATTTTTCAGCGCTCGTTACTAACTCTTCATCAAGAACATACAAGTTCTGATATTTTAAAGATGTATTTATACACTATAATGAATTAATAATAGTGTTGGATTTGTAATAACGTTGTATTTGTATACTACAATAAATTGATAATAGTGTATCATTGTAAATGCATATATCAATGTTGAATTGGTTTGTTATTTATTCCCCCACCCCCAAAAAAGCAATTAAAGTTAATTCCACAAAATATGTATCAGATAGCTATACGTGGAAATGAAATAGTGTAGATAATACAAATAATATTGATTTACAAATAGAATTAATTTGGTACCGACTACGTACCGAGTGCATGCCCTAAATAAGTCTATAAATAAATAAAGGTTTCGTAATAGTAGTAAGCTTTGCTTTGGGTACCTCTTACTACTCACAACACTCTCTTTCTCTTTTTTTATGAATAAGCAGATATTATTCATCAAGAAAGAGAGTTTTTAAAAAACCCCCAACTGGAACTCAAGTACCTCAATTTACAGAAGAATGACAAACGAGAAAGCTAACAGAGCAAACTAAAGAAACAAAGAGTAAAACCCAGGCTACACTATACTACATTATACTATTAACATAATCCTCCGAAACAACAAGTTTCACTTGAGAGAATCCATTCCTGAGCAGTCGTAGTAACCCTTGCAACTTCTCCAAAAGCTGGTTTTCCGACAGAGCCTCACCAGTCATCACTCTTCTGCAACGTTCCCGCCAAAGTTCAGCCACCACCATCACCCACAGAAGCCTGCCACGATCAGATGAGGTGCATTTTAACCGAAATAGTGATATGGCAGTTGCCAAAGATCCCTCCCAATTTGCCCCCACCACATTCCTTCCTGCAAAAATAGCCTACAACACACCTTAGAGTAGGCACACTCAAAGAAAAGATGATCCCTGGACTATGCCATAGAGGAGCATAACGGGCAGAGGTTAACCACTGCATTGTTCCATCTTTGTACCTTGTCTAGAGTAGCTATTCTGTTCAAGATGATTAACCAGACAAGTAGCTTATCTCGAGGTGTCCCAAAAGACTTCCAAAGCAAAGAAAACCACTGCACTGCTTCATGCTTATCAAGAAGAGTCTCCCAGACTTTTTTGACTGAGAACTTGTGCATCACACAATCACCCCAATACACACCTGCAGGTCTGACTATAAGGTATTGAGCCACTTTGGTCCTAAGTTTCGGGACCTTCCTCCAAGCCCATGAACAGGGTATGGAGGTAGGGATAACACTCTCTTTCTCACTCCACACTTTACGTAGATACTCTCCCTTTCGTTGTCTTCGCGCGAGAGATCGCCGATCGATCGACAACAAGTTCCGTTGCTGCAGTACGTACTACGTCAAAGACTGCAACCTTTACGGCGACATGGAGCCATGGGACATCTGGAACCAGTACTTTCGAGGCGGCGCACACAAAGAAGATGCTGACGACGGCGACGACGACGAGAAGAAGAACAATCGACTCTACTTGTTCACGCCGCTCAAGAAGCGGACCGCAACAGGGTCAAGACTCGACCGCAGCGTCGGATCCAACGGCGGGACTTGGCACGAGGACAACGTCGGCAGAGAGTCGCAGACCCTAGGCGGCGCCGTTTTGTGGACTGTGAAGCGGTTCAGCTACCGTACCAAGAAGAACAAGAAGGAGGAGGACAAAGGGACGCAGCTAACCTTTACTGCCCAGATATATATTCGTAGGGGAGTTACTTCCCTTTCATGTTTCTACCTATTTCCTTTTCTGCCTCCTCTTAACTTGCCATTTTTATCACAATGGCGTCATGATTGTAACTGAAAATGAAATAAGCTGACAACAGAACATCCTGCAACTTACTTACGTTACTGCATCTCAATCTCAAGAAAACGCTCACAAATCCATGCCTTCTGTTGGAATCAGGAAGGAATTTACTCTCTTGTTGCCAGATATGTGTAGTAGTTCAGTCCATTTCTTCCCAATGCTCGATTCAATCCCGCCAAAAGGACACAGTTGTTGAACTGTAATACAGGAAGAAAAGGGCTGAACTCTTCTGCTATAAATCTATTGGCATTTTGCAACGTCAAATTTGTCTTACTCATACAATGCAATTATGTTCACTCTTCACACACGAAGTGGCCTCTGGCTGCATCAATGATCGGCTGCCAGTACTGCATCAGGACGCCTGCCTGCATATATCTCCACGACTAAGTGGGCATACTCTGCAAACCAGATTGATAAGAAAGTGATGTAAATTTCCCAAGTTGTTCAAAACCAGGAAAACAAACAAACAAACCATACACAATTATGCATGTATCCATCCATACCTATGAATCTCCTTCAGCCACTTGTCTATGCAAGCTCTATGAAATTCATGATGACAGGGCAGTACCCGCATGCACTCTCCTTCATCGTACTCAACAAGGCATATGTAACACCTGAAATTCCCAAAAAAACAACCGAGGAAGTTAGCTTAAAGCCCCAGATGGAAGAACATCCAGCACCTAGAGCTATCATCAGCATGTGCATCATTATACAAGATTTCCAACGACTATTCTCATTTCCAAAACCATCTCTTCTACAGTTGTTTCCCATGAGAACAAGTAAGTCTACATTAGTCTAGGTGTGAAGCATGGTATATCAATTATCAGGACTGAAGCTGCAAATTAGTGATAGGACAAGGCTAATTGCTCCCCTATTTAACACCAAGCTTATTGGATAATCATAAGTAGAGTGATTGATACATCACAATAATAGAAGTGGTTTCTTACTTACCCACCTATCCCTATTCTACATCCTATAATCCGCATATCTCAGAATTGAGCAAAAGCAAAGCATATCAGAAAGCTCCAATCTATGAGAAACCCACATTTCCCACACCTAAATGCACAAGCAAAGAGAACTTCCATAATGTATAGGCTGAGAGCCTGAGACCCACATATTACAAGTAATGCTCAAGCAAATGAAAGGAGACGAAAAGCATAGAGCACATTGACATACTGTGCTGCCTCATCATTCTGTTGTTTTTGTGATTTGGTGTATAACTTGACAGGTAAAGATTCCACAACTTCGTTCGGGGCAGGGACAGATCCAAGGGAAGATACAGAAGGCCGAGAAGATAATACCACAGATTGCTGGTGAATTTCATCCAGAACCTAATTAAGATATGTTTAAAAGTAAAATTCAACTCATAGAGATAGAATTTGAGAAATGCAGGAAAGAGAAGCAGTGTAAAGGGAAGAAAAAAATCAAAGGATCGCTATTGCAAAAGGGACACATTACCTCAAACAAAGCTTCAGCTAACATGACAATTCTTGATATGCTAGCTCTAGCACTTGTATCATCATTTAAATTGGCATCACGATTACTTAGACGACATGTACAACGACCAGTTCTATGTTGACTAGATAAAATGCAAGACCTCCCATGCCCAGACATATTCTCAAAGCGACTTCCTAACCTCTGAAGAGCACGGACCTACACCCATTTTTAGATTCAACTTGATCAGTTGATAACTCAGAATCTCAGAGCTGAGATTTTTGTCTGTTAATAATATTCCACCTACTAGCCCTTCTAGGGCATCATACAAGAGTAGGTAGAGCAACATATGTCGCAAGTCAGAAAATGCCCTCACGGCACGCACAGAATAAACAATTCGTATAACTTTGGAGAGAGCTTGCAAATGGCACTCACGATCCTAGAACTGGAAATTAGGCAAAAGGGCTCCAGCATTATGAGGCATGCATAGACAATAAAACTTGCCAATTACGAGAAGTTGGCAAATACAGAACAGTAAAGAATAACTCAATGATCAAGGTAAATATGTGGAATTGGATTGGACACCAAGAATTAGAAACAAAAATCCAAGGCATAACCCAAGAAGAAAGAAGAAACTTGAGGAAGAGGGCAAAGAAGTAGAGAGAGATGAACCTGAAAGATCCATTTGTTCATGATAATCACGGTAACATTGTGTTGGGGGTATTTGGATGGTGGGAAATTGACGGTACGTTAAGGAGCCAGGTGCCCGTGTCAAGCCCAAGGGGAATCCAGGAGAGGGCCCAAAGAGGAGTTGGGCCCATTTAAAGAGGCCCGGGGGGCAAACTAGGGAGGATCAGGTGGATGAAGTCCGGGGTCTGTCCAGTCATATCCGAGAAGGCGCATTGGTTGGGGCGCCTAAGGAAACGGAGATAAGGATTGATTGCTCATTAGGCGCCGGGGACGTGTCATCATGGAAGAGCAACGAGACCAGGCGCCTAGGGTAGGGAAACGGGGTGATGATGACGTGGAAGTCCGTACGGCAAGACGATGAACAGTTATAAATAGTATGGTTGGTAAGCATTTACTGGGTTTTGGCTTCTCTCACTAAACTTTTGGGGAAATTACTTCTCTCTCTAAAATAGAAGCTGACTTGTTAGTTGGAGGATTAACGGGCCACGAGGCCCACCTCTGTGTGTGTAGGTAATTCCACGTAGGCAAGGCGGGCGGAGTAAAGAAGGAAGGTTAAGGGGGCTTCAACAATTGGCGCACCAGGAAGGGGCGACACTGACAAAGAGGGCGCCTGAGAGACGATGGAAGACGGTGGGAGTGAAGTCGAGGAGCAAGTCATGGCTGAGGCGTCTCAAGGGATGGAAGAGCGGACGCCCAGTAGGAACGAAGACGAAGGAAGTCAAGATCAACACCCAAGTTCTGAAAGCGCCTCCCTCACTAAGAAAGACTTGTCCAAAATCATAGCTGATCAAGATGAAGCCATCGGGATGCTCAGGAGGGAGGTAGAGATGCTGAAGGAAGGAGCACCTAGCCCAGTGACGAGGAAGAGAGAGAGTGCGTCCGAAGTGGAGGGAGAGTCTAGCTCACTAAGGCGCCTAGCAAGCATGAGGCGCTTGGCCGACTATGGGGACTCCGAGGGGGAAAGGAACGTATGGATGCAAGGGCGCCCACCGCGCCAGTTTGTGGTGAGGCAGCCATTAGCATGGAGCGTACTCGTTGAACCCGCAAATACCAACATTCCACCACTTCCCACTTATGATGGTACGGGGAACCCGGACGATCACTTGAATAGTTACTTCACCAAAATGCAGCTGTATAACAGTACGGACGCGACCTTGTGCAAGGTGTTCCCTTCCACCTTCGCGGGCGTGGTCCTAGACTGGTACCATCAAATTGAGGAGGGGCGCATAGAGTATTTTGAGCAATTCGCAGCCATGTTTTTGGCAATTGCGGGCGCCCCTCACCACCCTTTTGTAGTCCTTTCGGCGATAGGCGGCCGCCTTCAACTCTTCCTGAAGGGAGGCCTTCTCCTCCCTCAGAGCCACAAGCTCCTGGTCCCGGGCGCCTAGGTCTTGTGTCAGCGCCTCTTTCTTCGCCCTCAAGGCGGCCAGCTTCCGCTCAAACTCCAGGCGCTCCTCTGCCAGGCGAGAAGCAAACTCGGTGTCTCGTTGGCGGCGCTCCTCCTCCAGGGTGCTTTGAAGGGTGGAGATTTGCTTGGCCGCCTCTAGTTGCGCCTCCTCACACTCCTTGACGAGCTGCTCCCGGCGCACGGTAACAGTGTCAAGGTTGTCCTTCAGGGTTGACAGGGACGCCATCGCTTCGCGACTCTCCTCCACGGCGGTGGCTGTCTTCCGGGCGCCCGCCTCAGCAAGAAGGAGCAACTGCAAGAACAGAACGATGCATTAAGGTGGTCATACTTTAATAGGCGCCTCTATAAGCGACAAACACATTGGGAAAGTAAAATATAGGCGCATAAGGGCTTACCTTGGCTCCCATCTGGGCAACTTCAGCCCATGGCCGAAAGCTCGGCGGGCGTCTGGAGATGTTGCGATGCCGCAAGTGCCAGACCCATGGCGCACCCATGATCCACCACCGCCCGAGGAGAGCAGGACAGAGCAACGCGCCCTATTTCGGTGCGCATTGGGCGGAGAATGGGAGGCTTCCCGTCAGGACCAAGCAGGTGCCCTTATGATACAGAGTAGAGGTTGGGTTGTGTAGCGCCCTGCATACGGGCGCCTTCTTTTTCTTGCGCTGTAATCTCCAGCGCCTCTTCATTACTTGGTCTTGATTTCTTCCCCGGGTTGGACAACCGGGCGCCGGCCCGCTTCCCACGAGTGATTAGGGGGGCATCATCTTCTTCTTCCCCAAAATCACCCAACTCTTCAATCAGTGGGGGATCCTCAACCACGTTGGCGCCTGACGGTGTAGACGCCACACTGGAAGTCTTGGCAGGCTTCTCCAAAGGCGCCTTGCCTTTCCCAGGCGCCATCTTAGCCGCAGTAGGTTGGGGGGTAGAGACTGAGGCAGGCGACGCATTGGCACGGATGGATGCGCCCTTACCAGGCGCCTGCTGGGTCATCTTGTCATAGCGACTCTTCATCAAGGTCGCAATACGGGCAAAGTTGGTACCTGCAAACAAATCAAGTCATAAGCCAAGGTGCCTGCAAAAAACATCAACAAGAAAGAAAAACATTCAACACACCATCTCCATAGTATTCATCTAATATAGGCGCCTGGGCACTGGTGGGGCGCAGATTTATAAGGGAAGAGCTAATCAGTGCGGCGCCGTCCCTTTCTTCGCGGCTAAGTACGACAGAGGCGTTAAATCGTTTCTCAGTACCAAGCTCCCAATCTGTCCTAAAGGCGCCTCCACTTTCGTAAAAATAGTCCCTATGCGCCTTTATAATAAAGAAGCCTGTGAACCAACTCCGTCCCAATTTGGGGCACCGCATAACGAAATGGGTGCCCACCCTCTTACGGCGTTGCAATGATAAACAGTTGTCTCAGGGCGTCGCCGTGAAAAAATGGCGAAAAAGGTTGAAGGTTGGGCGCAC